ATGATTCTAATTGGAGCTTTTTGGAAGTCTAATGGCGGAGGCGTCCTAAGAGACGGCAGGAGACACATTACTGTAATAGCTTCTCAACGGATCTCCTCTGCACTCAAAGTTCCCTGCTCGTCCAGTCTGTCCAGAACGACAGCCCGGTTCTAGTCCAGCTGTTGGCGACTTCCTCGTAGAGTATCGACGATCAAGCCGCAAGGAAAGACAGCAACGACAAAAAAACACAAAGGAAGGGTTACCGGGGTAGTATGTTTGCAAAGCAGCGGTAGCAGCAGTATTGGGTATGTGTTGACTTAATTAGGTCTGTGAGCTGCTCGCTTTCCTCTCCTCAGCAGAAGTTGATTAGCAATGCCAGCTGTCCCCAATGTAATTCAGAGCGTGCACGCGTGCGTGTGCACGAGTAATATACGAGTGCATGCAAGTCTGATACTGCTGGGCTGTGTTGATGTGTGTTTATGCGTGTGCTGTAGCAGCCAGCTGCCACACGGCGCTGCCAATCCTCTATGATTAGTACCCACTGGCAACTGGGCTCAAACTGGTGCCAAACAGACCCAGGAGGGTAACATAGCCCACGGTTATCCTCCTCTTTCATGTCCGCTGCTTCTTTTCTCTTTCCTCACACCCTTTTTTTTTGTTTCTTTAGCTCCATCGTACGTCTCTGGCTCTCATTCCCGATGCTAAACAGGAGCAGGTTCCTTCTCCCTCATGGGAAAGGAAACAATACAAAAGGTGCAGAAAGCAGCGGAGAGGATGAACAGCGGTGGCTAAAAGTAGGGCTGGGATCTACTGTAAGCCTCCCTGCAGTTGACTATGAAGATGCTGGTGCTTGGCAAGCAGCTTTGCGACCTCTCACCTGTTGAGATTTCTCTGTGAACCTCGGTAGAAGCCAAAAAGATGACGAGAGCCAAAAAACGCACAATGGAAAAAATGAATGGAGCTCGTCTGCCTGGCTGTGTTTCCTGGACGGGGCCGCCTTTTACAGTCGCCTTTTGCATCTCTATTTCTGTCTCCTTGAACCCCAGTCGGCCTCAGCAGATGTCCGCTCACACTGAGCCTGGTTCTGCTGGAGGTTTCTTCCTGTTCAAAGGGAGTTTTTCCTCTCCACTGTCGCTACAAGCATGCTTAGTGTGAGGGATTGCCTCACAGTCGATGCAATCAACTAGTTTTCCTTAGATAGAAAACTTTGAATAAATTTGATCTGGTGAACTGTAAAGTGCCTTGAGATGATATGCGTTGTAAATAAATAAAAAGTGTGCAAAGTATGTAATTGGTTGTTCGCCGAATGCAGAGTATCTGCAAGGTGCGTTTCTAAAAACACTCTTCAGTGTGGATGTCGTCACAGAGGGAACTGCAGAGTTTTTCCAAATGAGCTCAGAGGAAGTAAGAGATGCAAGAAAATCAAAAAGGAAACTGTTTGCAGTTCATCAAAGCTGAGACTGAGAGAGAGCAAGACTTTCAGCTGATAATAGGAAGGCTGGGCTACATGTGAGTACAAAAGATGGGCCATTCTAGACAGAATCTAGACAGACTCCTTCCCAATGTTATGGCCCCTTTACCAGAGACATGATACATTATCAATTTATGACAAATTATGATACGTGCTAGAAGAGAAATATCAACTGATAGGACCCTTGAAACAATTTAATTTCAAATCTTTTAGTTTATCAATGATCTAAAAATTAAGTAGTCACACTTTTAGCTCCTGTCATATTAAGATAGGATCACAGTTTCCACTCTGTTGAGCAGTAACTGGCTTTTTGACTCACTTTGTAGATGAAATTATGAACTTTTGCCATTTTTTTCCTTATTATTGTGTTTGGTGCCCAAAAGAAATAACTCTGGCCGTACCATGACCCCCCCTGATCTAGCACCGCCACTGGCACACACTTTTTTTAGCCTTCCACTTCCGTCAGTCAAAAAACATACCGGAAGTGCACTGATCTGCACTGATCCCTATCATAAAAACTAAATAAATGTTTTAGATCTTTTTTTGCTGTTTCCCCTACATTACATCTTCTCCAATGTTTTTTTAATGAGAGGAAGACTGAAAATAAACTTCTAAAGATAAATAAAGGTCTTTTAAAGACTTTTAAAGTACTTTTTAAAGTATTTTTGCAAGTAACCTACTCTGGTTGCATACAATGTTTTTATGACAAATTATGGCGTTCTGCTGGTGTAGTATCTTTTATCTAAGCCAAAGCAATGAAGGCGGGCGAGTGTGAAACTCTCAGTGAAGTTACGGGGAAAAACAGAGAAGTATAAGATCAAATGTGAAAAGATGTTTGATTTCAAGAGGGAGAAAACTAGAGCTACTCATGGAAACCAGTCTGACCATTGGAGCCACTAAAGCTGGAGCTAAAGCTCAGGAAGCAGTTGGACGTCTCTGCAACGATGCAGAGCTAGATTAGCATGCTAGCTAATATTGCTACTGGTGTTAGCAATGCTTTTAAACCCTATCCTCCCAGCTATTGATTTTAGCATTACAGTGCGGTCGTATTTAGTCTGTGGATCAATCGCCACACCCTGGCTTTCCAGTAGTTCAGAGGTTCTGCCAATAGATGGCGCCACATCTGTTAATTTAAGCTCATGGCACCTTGTGCTGAGGTTCTATTTAGGCTCAAAAACAGGATGGACGCTTGGAGTTTATAGCCTTATTTTCTCATTATCAACAGGATTTTGGTCTTTTTTTTATAGGTATATAACATGACCATGTACATTAATTGTTATTGCAGTAATAAAAACAGACAAAGCTTTAAAGAAAACAAAGATGGAAAATTAGCCACACATTTCTGATCGGATCATCTTTGGCCTTTATGCATTTTGTTCCTCCTGGGCTCTCCTGTATGCACCTACTGTAAACCCACACAGCTCTGTGTTTTGCACAGCTTTGGCTTAGCAGAGGCAGCTGGTCCATCTGCTCCATTCTTGGTAATGCATTTATACTTTTCAGCACATGCGTGTGCATCTCGAGTACATATGCACAAAGACAGGAAAGCATCCAATTGTAGCCAGTACGCTTAAATCCACAAACAGCTCTGGTTGTGACTGATGGATCGTGTTTTGCACCGTAATTAGGACACAAGATGTAGAAAAATGCGCGGTGACTTGCACGCTCTCACTCACTTATGATTTTGTCAGATGTTGGCAATTCCAGTTGGGGCTTAGTGCCTAAGTCTATCACTGGCTGAGATTACAGGCAGATTTATGTGATTCGCCGGCTCCCCAGAGGACCTGCGGCCTCACAGTGGTTAATCATCACTTCACATTTATTCTTTCAACTGTTCTCTCACCACACAGCTATACTTTCGGTGATTTGCACCACTGCGGAAAAAAAAGTTGCTCCTTCACTCCAGGAAACTTCCTTTTTTTTTTTTTTTACTAAATGCTGCCTTCGACAGGAGGGTTAATTCTCGATAATCCCACCAATCAAAAGGTTAAACCTCCCCCCTGACCTTTACTTGCTTCATAAAAGCGGGACTATTCCTTTTTCCGTCAGATCAGCAAGCTTTTTCACTGAATTATCGAGTCGTGTTATTGAACTTTAAATTGTCTCGCATGCACGTTTTTTTTTTTCTCTCAGCACATGAAATGCACAAGCTCGACACTTTCAGCAGATACAGCAGAAGTGTGTCTAAATAAACCAGAGTGGCAACTCTGCTCATCTGATTATTGCTTTTTTTTTTACACCACAGGTGAAAACATAAAATATGGAAGAGGATTAGGGCCACTGGAAAAAAAAAAAGTTAACTGATTTTTAAATTTCATTTCAGTTTAATATGGGAAAAAAAGTCAGAATTTTGACTTTTTTCTCAGAATTCTGCCTTTTTTTTCAGAATTTGGCAGCTAACGAACATGTTAGCATCAAGCCATAGCCATGTCTGTTTTAGAGACTAGCTCTCTTGTTTTAATGTCCACTCGGGCACGTAAAAAGTTGCCTAATTCCATCATTTTTCATCTCTTCCTTCATGGTGCCCATCTACATTAGGATCCAAAATTCTGAGAAAAAAAGTCAGAATTCTGAGATTAAAGTCAGAATTCTGAGATTAAAGTCAGAATTGGGACAAAAAAAGTCAGAATTCTGAGAAAAAAGTTAGAATTCTAAGATTAAAGTCAGAATTCTGAGATTAAAGTCAGAATTCTGAGATTAAAAGTCAGAATTCTGAGAAAAAAGTTAGAATTCTAAGATTAAAGTCAGAATTCTGAGATTAAAGTCAGAATTGGGACAAAAAAAGTCAGAATTCTGAGATTAAAGTCAGAATTCTGAGATTAAAGTCA